AAAAAAAAAAAAAAAAAGCAAACCACCAAATAAGTACGAGCAAAGCATTGAAGACACTCGCCTAGTGGGGGGACTGTTTTTTTCCCTGAAAAAGAAAAAAAGAAAAAAAAGAAGCCACATGATAATGAAAGCCCTCTCTCTTTGCCTCCAATCATTGATGTCAACAATGCTGCTCTCTTACATTGGCACTTGGCACGCAGACTACAAACGGACAGCTCCTATCGACCTAGACTCCGAGCTACAACAGGTCTACAATGAAGATGAGGAAACCGATGACGAATCAAGACTCCGTGTGGACGGACCCGCTTCTTCTCCCACAGGTACGTGCCTCTTTGCACTGCTCACCCCTCGTCTTCTCCTACGCAGTCCCCCTTGACCCGAGGACCACGACCATAGCTCACCGGCTAAGCATGCATGCGGCCCGGCTATGGCCGCCGCTTGCTACCAGCTGCATCCACGCAGCTTCTTCCCCGTGCAGCCCGCCAGCGCCCTGTTTCCCTCTGGCCAGGCTCTCCTCAGCAGGCGAGTGCTCCAGCAGTGCTGCCGCGTCCGGCCAGCCAGAAAATGAAGTGAATTACCTCACTGCCCTTCCTTTTGTTCTGGCTGGATGGGTGAGGCAGGCCTGGACTGTGCAGCCTCTGTCCCCGTAGCTGCTACCAGGGCCCTTCCAGAATATGCCTGGGGCTCAACTGTAAGTGCCCTGGGCCTCAGCATCTTTTGTCGGGCCCCAGCATCTGCAATCAACTGAGCTACCCGTTGGTTGGAGATGCTGCGTGCAGCAGCCGACCTCCGGGCCCCATGATCCTCACATCAGCCTGTTCTCCGACCCAAACAGATTATTGCAGGCCCACCTTCACTTAGGGCGGCTGAATCCTCGCACCTGTGAGTGCATGTGCTTTATGGCTGCTCACTTCTGACGCTTTCGAAGTGCGCGGCCACAAACTGGCTGCTACTTTTTGCTGCACTGCCTGTCAATCTTCCACTCCAAATCGCTTTACAATGCTGTGTTTTTACAACTTCTTTACAACTTTTTTGTTTGTTTAAGTTGTTTGTTGCCTTTTTTTTTTTTTTTTTTTTTGACTCCGTGGGCCATGGATCAGATATTAACTGGTTCCGATCAGATACCAGTCTTGATCTTACTTGGTCCAAAGACCCAGAAAGGCCCAGAAAGGTACTGTGTAAGCAGAACTTACAACCCCTTGTGCGACTCTTAATTATTTTTTATTTTCAAGTGCGCACAATGAACCCAACCTTCTTTTTTTTTGTTTGTTTGGACGATTCCCCGATTTATGTGTGCCGTCCATGTCCATGTGCAGGGTCCATTCTAATCTTCATTCTCTGTATCGTTCCAATTGTATCGGATGTCCCAAAGGACACACTGAACCCAATTTCAGAAGTCCGCGATCGAATCTCACATGGATGTCCCAATTCACAAGGTTCGTGAAAATATCTCAAACAATTGAACAATGAAGAATGAAATGTTGGGAAGAAGAGCAGGAGCATGAAAATATGATAAATAATAAATATCTCAAACATGTAAAGTGTTATAATTTATAAACAATGAACTTCAATGAAGTACAATGTTCAGATTGCTTCTCCCTCTTCGTCCACAGGATTGCTTTTTTTTTTCACCTCACGCACGCACCTATGTGTCTCTTTGGAAGCAGCATGTCGATTCCAAAGTTAATCTCTCTAGAGTCTCTACAGCGTTGGCCTATACCAGGCTGCCGCAAATAATGCTGGTACTGCAAATGCGTTGGTATCTCTTCTGAAGCAGCATCGAGTCTTGGTTTCGTTTTTTGGAAAAAAGGGGGGCCATCTGGTTGTCCTGGTATGCAAGGGGAAGTTTGACAGTTCTGTCTCTTGGACAAAGAGGGAAGTCTGGCCAGTCCGTACCCCGAATCTGGTCCCATATGGCATCTTTCCTCTTTGGGGAGGCTGAGACCCGGCCATTGAGATCAAGCAACCTGATTTCCAGATCCACATTCTTTCCCTGCGATCTCCACGCATTCTAACTTCTCTGCCTGCTATTGCTATTGTTTGATGGGCCTGCCGCCGTATTGGATTGGATTGGATTGGATTGGATTGGATAGACCGCGCTAAGGTTACAAGCAGACAACTAATTCGTAATTAATAATTATCATGACTATTCTGAATTATCATGACTATGTTTAAGTTTTTTCAACATTTTTGTGATTGCATTTCTGAGTGCAGATGCAGATTTCGCAGGTGTTCCTATCCATTTTCCTTCATGCTTTGTGTAGCCTTAGGTCATTTTATTGAGATGATTTAGAGGTTCTTGATGCAGTCCCCCCTGGATCCAGTCTGCAGCGGGGCATGCAGATTGCGAGAAAGGAGAACTGGCATGACGGTCATTATGTGGTCTTTTTGGAAACACTTCATTGATTTTTTATGCAAGAGGTCAGCCAGACCCTGTCTGCTGATCCACATTACTCTCTCCACTATGGGTCTAGGGAGTGCAAAACTTGTTTTGTCAAATTGTCTAATCTGCTGGGCTTCTTCTTCTTCTTCTTCTTCTGCTGCTGCTGCTGCTGCTGCTGCTTCTTTCTTCTTTCCACTTCTTCCCTTTCTTCTTCTTCATCTTCTTCTTCCGCCTCTTCTTCCTCCTCTTTTTCCTCCTCCTCTTCCTCCTCTTCTTCCTTTTCTTCCTCTTCTTCGTCCTCTTCGTCCTGCTCTTCCTTCTTCTTCCTTCTTCCTTCTTCCTCCTTCCTCCCTCCTCCTCCTCCTCCTCCTCCTCCTCCTCCTCCCCTTCGTCATCATCGTCGTCCTCCTCCTCCTCTTTGTCGTCGTCCTCCTCCTCCTCCTC